ATAATTTTCTACAGTTACCCCCATTTAACACATTTTCTCTTATGTTAGATTAGAGAAAATGTTTATTCTTGGCATCACTTGTGCAATTTAAATCTGGGTACCACATCTCATATTTATGTTTATTTTTTTCTTTTGTAGGGTGTAAATTTATCATCTTTTATGTTATGTATCGTGTTTATTTATAATTTTGAAAAAAAAAAATATCATGGATGGATTAATGAAAATGTGTATATTAACGTAATATACAACATTTAATGAGACTCGGGGATTATTATTATTATTTATTATTAGCATTTTCTAATATGGCGTCACTTGTGCAAGTCGTCTGCCTACCACATCTCATATTTATGTTTATTTATTCTATTATGGGTGTATTTATCATCTTTTTATGTTATGTATCGTGTTTATTATATAATTTTGAAAAAATATAGATGGATTAATGAAAATGTGTATTTAGCGTAATATACGACATTTAAATGAGACTCGATGATTATTATTATCATTACTAATATGAAAGTCTGGAGACATAAGACACTCTTACGATTTTAATGTGTACCTGCATGCCAGCACAGTATGTAAGTTTATTTAAGTACAGGTATACATAAGTATAATTATCAGAGTATATATAAAATATGAAATAACTTTTAAAAACATTTGAAATTTTGGAGTTTCCAGACAAAATGGAGAGACTTGGTGCTTACTGAGCTCACGAAGAATGTAAACAAACAAGGTGGGGCGCGGTGACCATATTAGAAAGTCAGGTGGGGGGAGCCGTATAGCGAGTTTTGGTCATAATTTGAAATGACCGTATTAGCGGAACGCCGTAAAGCGGGGCCTTCCTGTATATCGATAAATGGTTCTCCTGTTACAAGACACACTGAAGGTTAATTTCTAGGTCTTCTCCTTGACTGTAATCTTAAATTTCATTCTCACATCCAGCATATATCCAAGAAAATTTCCAAATCAGTAGGCATCCTTTGATTCCATTCCAAGATACAGTACTATGTACCCCAAGCGATAATCTTTTTTTTCCCTAAACGTTGCATTCCTTAATACCCTTATGTTGCCTGTGGTATTTGTGACTGGGGACTAACCACTTTAAACCTTTAATAACCCAACAAAAAGCTGCTGTGTAGATGATTACCAGCTCTTGTGCTAGACAGCATACCCCACCACTTTTCAAAAACCTGAACTTAATAAATATACGAGACATACACTTATGTTATTGTGCCTACTACGTATGCAAAACATTACACTCCAATATAAGCCCTCCGCTCAAACTTCTCCTTGATAGCTAGAACATAATGCACAGTCACAATACAAGGCATGAGGCACTCTTCGACATCCCTCATGTCGGTCTCACACCATGCAAAAATGCAATGCACATACAAGGCCTGAAGATCTGGAATTCACTACCCGAACCGATAAAGGATCCCCTGACTATTTATAAATTTTGGACTTTGCTTAAAAATCATCTCATCTCTCAATACTAACCAAAACAACTTCTAATCAGTTTGAAGCAACTCTCCCAAATACGCCTACCATCCGACTTACAACCGAGTTCAGTTCCAAGAAACCGGTCATAAGTCGAACTTTACTACTGAATATCAACAAAACATTTTTGTAATTACTTTATTTTATTGTTTTATTTTGGTATTTCATGTTTTACTTCACTTTTTATGCTGTTAGTACTGTTTTATACTGTAAGGTTTAGGATAAACACTCTGTACAACACAAATAGTTGTTTATTTCCCAGAAATTTGGCATAAAAAACACGGTCGTAAGTCGAGCAGGTCGTAAGTCGGATGGTAGGTGTACATATTATATTATGACCTCTAGTCTATTAACCCTTTGACTGTCGTAGGCCCCTTTCTGAAACTGTCATTCTATGTCGCAAAATATTCGAAAAAAAAAAAAATTTTTTTCTTATGAAAATATTAGGAATATTTTTTGAGTGTTTTAAGCCTAAAAAAATTTTTTTGCCATCAATACTTACCGAGATATAGAGCCACAAAGTTTGCAGAAAGTGACGTGCGTACGGCAACAGCGGCGACTGCCGCCCACCCGGTATTCTTTTATTTACTCTAATTCAAAAGTTTCTTGCATTTTTCAGTATTTTTCTTTTCCAAGTAACTTATGTGGCCTGTGAGACCAATGTAAGGTGCATTGTTCAAAAATACACTCATTGTTTACAACAATAACAGAACAAACTTTATCACTATTAGTTTGTGTATACACTTTGTTTACACAAACAAACAATACAAAAAAATGTTTATTACTATTGTTTTCCCTAATATATATACATATGTACAGTCACTGAACACGTTCCTAGAACTGCTGCAGCTTGTGGAACTCTTTGAAACATGGGTATATGCAGAGGGGCACTTCACACTCCTCACACATAAAACGAGTGTCTGCGTGTTTGTGGGTGTTTTGTAGTATGTGTACATATGTAACACCTCTTCTGAGCATTTTTCTTGGCAGTAGTAAGAGGCAGTTGTATGGGGTAGTGATCACTAGGCCTGAAACGAGATGACGTGTGTTGGTAATTTCGTGGGCGCTGGTCTATTGCAGGTGTTGCTCCTTGGTACTTTGCGATTATTTGTCTGATTACTGACAAACAAAATTCACCATATTTTGGTGTTTTGTTGGTCTTCAACTTGTATATGTTATAAGCATTTAGCATAGAGATATCAACAAGATGGAAAAAAAGTTTTATATACCACTTATAACTCGTGCGTACACAATCTGCAAACCCAATCTGCATGTCACATTTGTCCACTAAACTCATATTGAGGTTGTAGTCCATGACAGCTGCAGGCTTTAGAATGGGTTCATTGGTCTCTCTGTTGTGCCTGCCACTGTGTGCCATTTCGTTTCGGTGAACTGATGTCAACAATGTGACATCACTTTATGTCATGCCACCGAAATGCCAGATGTCATTGGCAGCAAAGGCTTGAAACCTCACCTCTGCGAGTGCCAGCGTCGAACCTTGGCATATGTTTACGATTACCACGCACTGTGCCACACCTTCTGTCAATTTTCACTCGCAAGAAATCACTGATTAAGGGGCTTGTGTACCAGTTATCAGTAAATAACATATGCCTCTTACCAAGATATGGTTCCATCATTGTTCGAACCACATCACCAGAGATACCCAATAACTTCATGGTATCTCTCAAAGTATTACTGCCAGTGTACACAATGATATCCAAAACTAGACCACTTCTGCAATCACACAGTACAAATAACTTTATACCAAAGCATTTCCTCTTGCTTGGTATATATTGCTTGAATGAGAGTCTTCCTTTGAATAAAATCAAGGACTCATCAATAACAAGCTTCCTGAAGGGATAAAAATACATGCAGCACTTTTGTTCCAGGTACATAAACACATTTCTGATCTTATATAACCTGTCGGTTCTGTCAGGCCTGGTTTTGTCTGAAAAGTGTAACATACATAACAGTATCAGGAAACGATTGACACCTATAACTAAGTATGAAAGTGGAGTGCGTGTCTCCGAGCTGGCCAGGTTGTACACAAAACCCCAGTCAACCATCGCTACTGTTGTGGCCAGGAAAACGGCAATCAAGGAAGCTGTTCTTGTCAAAGGTGCAACTATGTTTTCGAAACTGAGATCGCAAGTGATAGAAGATGTTGAGAGACTGTTATTGGTGTGGATAAACGAAAAACAGATAGCAGGAGATAGCATCTCTCAAGCGATCATATGTGAAAAGGCTAGGAAGTTGCATGAGGATTTAATTAGAAAAATGCCAGCAACTAGTGGTGATGTGAGTGAATTTAAGGCCAGCAAAGGTTGGTTTGAGAGATTTAAGAATCGTAGTGGCATACATAGTGCGATAAGGCATGGTGAGGCTGCCAGTTTGGACCAAAAAGCAGCTGAAAAATATGTGCAGGCATTCAAGCAGTACATAGACAGTGAAGTATTGAAACCTGAACAAGTGTTTAATTGTGACACTGACAATGTTGTGAAACACTTTAGGAATGTCATAAAGGAAAGGGAGGTACAGGCCTCTATGGACAGATATGTTGTGCGACAGAGGTCCAGTGACTCTCAAGCTGGTCCTAGTGGCATTAAAAGAAGGGAAGTAACCCCGAAAAAGGACTTGCCACCTCAAGTCCTAATGGAAGGGGATTCCCCTTCTAAACACTAACACTATCAACACTCTATCCTCCTCCCATCCCATCAATCATCACCAGTTCTTCAATAAAGGTAAGTGTCACGTAACTGTGCATGTCTTCTTCAGTTTGTGTGTATTAAAATTAATATTTCATGTGGTAAATTTTTTTTTTTTTTTCAATAGTTTTGGGTGTCTTGCATGGATTAATTTGATTTCCATTATTTCTTATGGGGAAAATTAACTCGACTAACGATAATTTCGATTAACGATGAGCTCTCAGGAATGGATTAATATCGCTTGTCGAGGGTCCACTGTATACTCTACAGACTTATTCCCCTATAATTTTTGCACTCTTTTGTCCCCTTTGCCTTTATACAAAGGAACTATGCATGTTCTCTTCCAATCCCTAGGTACGTACTTTACCCTCTTCAGTACATTTATTAAATAAAAGTACCAACCACTCTAAAACTGTATCCCCACCTGCTTTTAACATTTCTATCTTTATCCCATCAGTCCCAGCTGCCTTAACCCCTTTCATTCTACCCACTGCTTCACAAACTTCCCCCACACTCGCAACTGGCTCTTCCTCACTTCTACAATCTACAAGATGTTATTCCTCCTTGCCCTATACAGGAAATCACAGCTTCCCTATCTTCATCAACATTTAGCAATTTCTCAGAATATTCTTTCCATCTTCCCAATACCTCTTACTCTCCATTTAATAACTCTCCTTTCCTATTTTTAACTATCAAATCCATTCATTCCCTAGGCTTCCTCAGCTGGAATGAAATGCAAATGTATATGTATTTTTTCCCATGAATTAAAATGTGCCATGACTTGGTTGTCTTTCATTCCAGATTCCAGCACGGGTGCCAGTCATGAATCCCCCAGCGGCTTTGGCAGGTGCTATGCTAAAAGATAAAAAGCCCTTCACCTACACTCCTGGAGGCCTGGACCTCTCCGAGATAAAGTGAGTCTTTCCACCTAACTATTTCTCAAGATTGTTTTGCTGTGAGGGAGGAAAAGCAGTAAACATCATAGCCACCACTTGATACTTAGCTTGTTGAAGGGCACCTTTTTTTTTTTGTTGTTATCCTGTAGGAGTCATAGTGCCTAGTGAAGGCGCAGCAGTCAGATTTGATACAAGGAAGAGCAATTTCCTTGAATCAGGAATCCTACATCAACAAAAGGTGCCTACTTATGAAAGTTGAAGGTGTAGATTGATGGTACTGCTTTTCATTTTCAATATTCATTTCTCGAAACAGATTTTATGAAGCATTTGTGTTGGTGTATTATTACATTCATGGGGAAGCACTAAACACAGAGGTCATACAGCACTCAGGAAATAAGATTCAATCAGATTTAATCCAAGAAAGGGGAGAATGTGTCCAATTCCTTGGATCAAGAGCCCTCACTGGCATCAAGAAAACTTCCTTGAGGGGATTTTCCAAAAAGTCAATGCAATGTACAAAATTAAATATTAATTATTGTAGGTTGGATTACTTGAATTCAACCTAACTTATCCTAAGCTTACATATGATTATGGTAAATAACCAATTACCTGGTACATGTCAAAATACCACAGTGAAACTTATTATTATTATTATTATTATTATTATTATATAATAATCAGGGTGAGCGCTTAACCCCTACCATAAGGGTTCACATAACGGTTGGGAGAGAATTGGGTTCGATCCAAGAAAAAAGAGGATAGGCTAACTTTCTTGGATCAAGAGCCCTCCACCAGCATCAAGGCACCTCCCTTGAAGAGCCACGATGAAAAGCTGACATTAGATGGATAAGATACGTGTGCTACATCTGGGTATTTTTGAGACAAGGGGGGGGGGTCAACTAAGGGGCTTGTTAAGCTGATAGAGACATGAAAGAGATGACTTTTATAGGGGAGCTAGTGAGGTGGAAGAAGTGGTTACCCAAGTGTGGGTGGGGTCCACTAGTGAAAGTGACACAAAGCAGTATTAGTAGCAGTGGTCAGTGTTATAGAACATTCTGATGATTATTAGGGCTGCTTTCACTAGTGGGTCCCACCCGTTCTTATGTGACTCCCACCACTGATGGTATCATGCTCTCCATCGCTGGCTCCACAAGGTGACTGCTGCTAGTGGTTGTGGTCATCGTCATTCCACAACTTCACCTTGCTAGCTTCCCCATAAATGTTTCCTCTCTCTTAGTGATAAAACTTCTGGTGGATGATAAGTCTTAGGTATACCCACTTGTGCATGTCTTTATCAAGTTGTCAGTATTATATGCCTTTGATCTGATGACAAAAGCAACACCTGATTGCATTCATGTGTTCACATACCTCTGTCTTACTTCTGAAGATGCGAGTGTCAATGCATGAAAGCACTCAGCTGTTTGTTTCGCTGGTATTTTATCATATTTATAATGGTCTTGCAACCAGTTACAAAAAATTAGATGGTAACACCTGACAGTGGAGGTTATGCCATCATTATTCATTTCATTAGAAACACTGTTAGTTTTGTACTTTGTGAAGACTGGCTGTCTCCAGAGGGTCAGGTGACATCTTGTACTCAAGGCTCAATATCACTTGCTCATTTTATCAACTGTTGAGTTGATATGCTGTTGCCTTGAACTATATTTGATTATTCCTTGATTTTGTGGTGCTATTATTGAAGAATTTACTTTTAGTGAGATACTGAAATGCAAAATTATTCTTGGCATTTCATGTTTTTTATTCAAAGAGTGAATAGTGGATGTAAAAGGTTAACAAATAATTAAAATTTATATTACATACAGTAGTTATGCAGTGCTTTCACAAATATTTTGTGTGAATGTTCTTGCCTAACCTCTTGGTTGGCTCCATTGACTACTCGTCAAGTCCAGTGTTATTAGTGTAACTTTTGACTAGTATGTGATGTGCTGTCAGTAATATGAATGTAGAATGTTGAGATGAGCTTGGCCGAGTGTTATGCGTGTGTGAGATAAATGTAATGGCCAGACACGCCCACCAAAAGGTGACAAGGAGTGGCCGTGTCCTATGCTGCCTCCTGCCTCCTTCCCTCTCCCCAACTCTGGCACGCGTGTTCGCGTCACCGCCCACAGGTCACCAAGGATGCAGAGGCGCCTCTACAGGAATGCTCATTCAGAAGGCGTGCGGCCATCTCCTCTAGCCCAGCAGCCTCCACCAGGCCCAGTCAACCCAACAGTAGCAGCACAATCAACTCCACATGGTCGAGCAGTGCAGGTACTACCTATGCCAGGCATGGCCATGGGACCGCAGCCGCAACCGCAACTGCAACACAAGGAACCACCTAAACCAAAGAGAAATGTTTGTGGACCTCCACCCCCACCACCCCCTTTTGTTGTAACATCAGAGAATTCTTTCAACTTGGCATCTACATCCACATCACCCCCAATACTTAGCTCCTTGCCCACATCTGTCCCTGTTGCAGAGCCACAGCTGGCCAGGGAACCTGGCCCCTCTATACCAGTAGCTCCACCACTGCCAACACATGGTCCTGCAGCAAGATGTTCTCTCATCTCGGCTTCTCCACCTTCTTCTCCTTTAATGAATGCTGTGCCAAGTGATCCTTCCCCACCCCCTCTCCCTCCACCCCAAGCTGTTCGAATTCCTGTCACACCACCTATAGTGCCTGTCACACCACCTGTAGTGCCTGTCACACTGCCCATGGTGCCTGTTACACTACCTGCTGCATCTGTCATGCAGCCCAGCTCACCTGTCATGCAGCCCGGCTCACCTGTCATGCAGCCCAGCACACCTGTCATGCAGCCCAGCACACCCGTCGTGCAGCCCAGCACTCCTGTCGTGCAGCCCGGTACACCCATCATGCAGCCCGGCACACCCATCATGCAGCCCGGCACACCCATCATGCAGCCCAGCACACCCGTCATGCAGCCCGGCACACCCATCATGCAGCCCGGAACACCTGTCATACAGCCCGGCACACCCATCATGCAGCCCGGCACACCCATCATGCAGCCCGGAACACCCGTCATGCAGCCCAGCACACCCATCATGCAGCCTAGCACACCCGCCATGCAGCCCAGCACACCCATCGTGCAGCCCGGAACACCCATCATACAGCCCAGCACACCCATCATGCAGCCCGGCACACCTGTCATTCCTGTGTTGCCGTTCAATGCAAGAGAGACTTTATGTTTCACTTTAGAGCCAACTGAGCAGCCATTAATAGAGTGCTCATTTACACTGACATCTCCACTTAAAGAACAGGCACTGTCATCGGATATAGTCATATCTTCATCAATGAAAAATGACCTTTCACCTTCTGAAGAGGAAGCTTTTGCCTCACCTGAAGAATTAAAGTCACCACAAATAACAGACATAAATATTCAGCAAAATGAGAGCATGTTAACTAAGGCAAAACCATCCATTTTTGAGCAAGAGTCAATACAGACAATTCCTTTTGAAGAACCATCACCTAATAAGCAATCTCCTGACAAGGAGCCATTACCTGTTCGACATCCTTTCAAGGAATTATCACCCATTCGACAGATGCCTATCGCAGAACCTTCACCTATTACACAGGTGCCTATAAAGGAAACATCGCCAATTAAAGAAGTACCTGTAATATCTAATGATTCTTCACCTATTAAGCAGGATTTCATGAAGGACCCTTCAGCTATGAAGCAGCTAATTACTAAGGAACCCTCACTTGTTAAACACCCACATACCAAGGAAATATCACCAAATAGGCAGATACCTATCCGGGAACTTTCACCCATGAAACAGTTGTACAACAAGGAGCAGTCACCTGTTAAACAAGCAGCTGTCAAGGAGCCTTCACCTGTGAAACAGGCGCCTATCAAGGAGCCATCACCTGTGAAACAGGCACCTATCAAGGAGCCATCGCCTGTGAAACAGGAACCCATCAAGAAGCCTTCACTTATGAAACAGGCACCTATCAAGGAGCTATCATCTTTGAAACAGGCACCCAAGGAGCCTTCACCTATTAAACAGGAACCCAGTACAGAACCTTTGCCAGTGCAACAAGTTCCTCTACATGAACATTCACCAGCTGGACAAGGGCTTGCTAGACAGCCTTTTCCAGTAAAACATGTTTCTGTTAATCAGCCTGCACCTACAAGACAGACCCTTGTTCCTGAGGTATCACCAGCAGAGCAGCTTCCAGATGCTCAGTCTTCTATTAAATATTCCCCGCCACCTGTGAATATAATGCCACTTAAAGAACCGACTCCTGTGAGACAATTATTGATAAAGGAAACGTCTCCAATTAGACAGACCTCCTTACAACAGCCTCAGCCTGTTGCACAGTCTCTTCCTGCAGTAGAACTGCACCCTCAATCTATGATGGATCCAATGCCTCCTGGACCATCTTCAGTGAATCAAAAGCCAAACCAAGTAAGTAATATGATATCAGGAGCTACTCAAAAATTTACATTCAGCGAGCAAAGACCTGCAAGACAAGCATCTATGCAGCATCCTGGCCCTGCGAGACAGACTTCTCTGCCAGAACCTCGACAATTTACAGAGGTACCAATACAGCGGCTATCGAAGCAACAACCCACACTTCTGAGACAGACTTCTCTACAAGACTCGGTGCTTTCAAGACAGAATTCTGTGAAAGCAAACAATAAACTTACAACACGGCATATACCAGTTCATATGGAATTGCCCCCATACAATTCTGGGGCTAGTGCATCACCACCTATTGTTAAAGGAGCTTCAATAGTACGCCAGGCATCCTTGCCTAATAAACCATCTTCACCACAAGTGTCCCCTCCCAATGCTCAACTAGGATCAATTTATGTCCCACCCGTAAGTAGTGACACAGAAAGTACTTCTTCACCACTGTCACCTTTAGGTGAAAGGAGCCCAAGAATGAGCCCTACCACAGGCCTCAATAAAGGACCTTTGCCTTGGATGTGTGCTCAAAAGCGCACTCCATCACCACCCCCATCGTTTGTTACACATGCTCAACAGACACAGCAAAGACTTCAACAGCATCAACAAAATCGCTGTTTGAGGCAGAGGTCATTGGGGCCTGAATCCCCTCCTTCACAACCCCAAGTTGAAGCTACAGTCCTTCCACAACCAGAAGTTTATCAACATTCAGGTTTCCAAAGACAGAAATCATTACCTCCTCAGCAACAACAACAATCTCAGATATATCCACAGCTTATAAGAACCCAACAGCCCCGACCTCAGTACCAGCAGCCACAACAATCTCGTATAATTCCCATTCAAGTACAGCAACCACAACAAACTCGCACAATTCCCATCCATGTACAGCAGACACAACAACAACAAAAGCATCGCCCCAGAGAGCGCATCATTCCTATTATGATTGAACGGGAATCCCCTCCAAAAAACACAGCTCAAACTTCGACCCCCTTCATCCCACCAGCAGCAGCTGATTCTTTCATTCCCATCAGCACAGACATCACTGGCAGCACTAATGCAAAAGCCAGCTTCCAGCAGCCACACACTAGCTTCCAGCAGCCACAGGCTAGCTTCCACCAGCCAAAAGCTAGCTTCCAGCAGTCACAGCCTAGCTTTCAGCAGCAACAGCCAAACCTTCAACAATCACAACAGTATCAACAGCCACAACAGTGGCAACAATATCAACAAGCACCACAACAAGTATGGAGCTCTCCTGGAACAACATTCTCTCCACCACAGTTTTCTTCGGCCCCTTTGACTGAGAGTCAGAGTGGTGCATTCCATACTTACAACAACCACCATCCTTCTGGGTTGCACTCAAACAACAATGCCCTTGATGCTCTCCATCAGATGCAACAGAGCCTTGCTCAGCTCAACTCAGGCCTACAGAAGTAAGTCGTACATACGGCACTTTGCCCATCCCAATAGTGCGACTTGGATACCTTCAAGTAGTCAACCTTCACAACCTTACTCATCTTCTCTCACCAATAATCTTCATATTGTTTTTGCAATGTTATTTTTTTAATAGCTAGTTAAGGTTTTGTAATATTTAATATATCTGATCAATAACTAGAACATTTCGTATATACTGTACTTGGCATACTTTAATGTTTGATGCCAAGACGATCAAATATTGTACTGTATACATGCATAACTTGGAGATACAGTATATTCAGCATAGGACTTTCTGAATGGCACTTAGCACCCTTTGGCTGCAACTAATTGATGCTAAAAAAGTAACATCCATTGTTTTTTACCTAATGGTCCACACTAACAAGTCATTAATAAGCCCTATGTATATGTATAATATTCTTAGAGCTTAACATTGTCTTCTGTACCTTTGCAGCGCGTTCCCAAGACTCATTCAGAAAAAAATGTCGGACTCTATAACACCCCGGACAACCCCTAGGTATAGTAGTAAAGGGGTCTGTGACAAAATGGTGGTTACCTTGTTGTCTTACTTTACCACCCAAAGTTATACCTGTGTGTGTTCATTCATTGGTGTAGCCTCAACGATGTGATGTCATGTATCCTTCTCTGATACTCTGAATATACCAAGTGAATTTAGGATAATGGAGTGACATCACAGCCTTAAGGCAAGCAACTATACACCAGTACTATATCCTATTTGTTACCTTGTGCTGGTGATTCATTAGCATTAACACTTTCTCAAATGAGAGGAAATAAACTACGTAGTGTTTTCAGGGCCATATACTGTATTAGCTACTGTTTCTGTCAGTTATTATTTAGAGTACCAATACTAATTTCCTGTATGATCTTGCACATTTTAGTTCTTGTCAGTATTGTAGGAATTTTTTTTCCTTTGTACCTGTACAGCATATAGAACCACCACTTGTAATTTATGCAGCATACATCTTTTCATGTCCTGAAGTTACTAACATGCGAAGTGTGTCCTTTTGTGAACTTGTATATTCCTGAAAGCCATTTGAAACCTTATTTTCCATATTTTAATTGTGTGAAGTTCTGTTGATTTTGTTAATTTTTCTAATTATACGGTATTTTATTTTGTTGCTGATGTTTTTAATTTGTGTTTGATTACTTGTTTTAAGCTTCCATTTAATTACTATATCTTTTTGTACTATTTAGATCATATTTGTTACTTAAAAGTTAAGAAAATGTGATAGTTGGTTATCACAGCAAAAATTAACCTTGATTTGTGCAGTAATTTCATCTGTTTTCAAATACTTTGGCTGCTTGGAAAGTTGCAGTACATGGAAGGGGGCAGTAAATAGTATTTTAATGAAAGAATTGTATTAAGTATTTTTTTCTTTATTTCAAGTGTTAGTAAAGACAAACTATGTTCATCAAATATAATACTGTATTAAATTTCCTTATTTTGAAGTTATTCTTTCCTGCTAGATTCTATTATAAAATGAGATTGAATATTAATACATGCATATTTTACAGCAATCAGCCAAGACCACAACAAAATGGTAATGTGGCAACAATGGACCAGCCTGCTAATGGGGCAGACCTTGGGCCTCCTATCCAGTCTCGCTCATTTAGGCTTCTGCAGAACGTCCTAGATCACCAAGATACTGCAGGTATTAAATTCCGGTTCAGACCAAATACTTTTCCAGTTACACATGCATAATCTATATATTGTTTACTCATATTAAACACTTGACGTAGAAATTATTAAAACCTAAGATGGGTGTAACAAAATTATTTTTTTTTTATACCAAAATTGTTGCAGTTATGATGTCTGCAGTACTTAAAGTATTGTTACAGGATTCAAATTTGGAAAAACTCGTTAACTTCTAAGTGAGATTTATGCATCTGTGTTAAAGTACTGGTAATATTTTATTAATTATTGTTAAATATCTCTGCAATAATAATGGTATATTTTTGTAATTTACTCTGACACCTTCACTTTTTTTAAAGAAAGCCTGTACAGTAGGACCCCCGTATCCACAGGGGATATGTTCCAAGGACCTACTGTGGATTCCGAAACCATGGGTAGTAGCAAACCATATATATGTCCTATATATGCCTGTTATAAAGTTTAATTGATAAATTATGCACAATAAGTGGAAAATTATCACTTTTTCACTGATGAATTACTTCCTGGCTTCTCTAAGACTTTGAAGAACTGCCAGCTTTCTACTTTTGCACTTTGGAGCCATTATTATGCAAAATTAAGAGATATTTTTGGGCCACAGTTTATAAACTGTGGATAAGTGAAACCACGGATACCGAATCAGTGGATACAGGGGTTTTGCTGTAATATGTTATATAGTATACTATGAAGCTTATTACTTTATACAGATATAATTTATTTAGTCATTGCAATAAATACATCATTAATATACTTACAGTGGTACCTCGAGTTTTGAACAGCTCCCAACTCAAACAGTTATGTAAGTGTATTTTTGGGGGTCTGAAACGGGCTAATCTAATTTACATTATTCCTTATGGAAACAAATTCATTCGGTATCAGCACTCGAACAGCCTTCTTGAACGAATTAAGCTCGTAACTTGAGGTACCATTGTATATCTTTCAGTGTGAGGGTTAGTTTTATTTGATATGATAAATTACATAGTATCAATTACAGTATATTTGTGATTTTATTGGTACAGTTTGCATGTAAAAATCATTACAGTACTGTGCATGATTCTGTTTAATCTGGGTCATATCAAAGAAAATTTAATATGCTAGCCAAATGAAAGCTTCCAGACTCTCAAACACAAGTAAAAGCCTCATACTTAATGAATTGTTATACAGTTTTATCCTAATGTATATAATACAATTAACTTTTTAAAAATAAAATCTCTACTGTAAAAACAATATAATGTATATGGAAATAAATATGGAAATAAATAATGTATGAAATGTAATTTATAAGGAAAATTATCATTTGCCTTTTATGCAGTTTTTTATTGCTTGTATAAATTTTATATTTGTTAATTAAAATCATTAGTTAAACTTTATCACAAGTAATCATTTCATTCATTGTCAGTAATAATTTTGTAATTGTAATACAGTGGACCCTTGGTTAACGATATTTTTTCATTCCAGAAGTATGTTCAGGTGCCAGTACTGACTGAATTTGTTCCCATAAGGAATATTGTGAAGTAGATTAGTCCATTTCAGACCCCCAAACATACACATACAAACGCACTTACATAAATACACTTACATAATTGGTCGCATTGGGAGGTGATCGTTATGCGGGGGTCCACTGTATTAATATAATTGTGTTTAGTAACTACATCTAACTGCCAGGTGTAGTACATGATACTCATAATATGAGGAACAGGACACGAGCATATGCTTAGGACTTTTTAATAGAAATGTTTTGGTCCTAGGACCAAAGCACTTCCATTAACACATCTTCAGTGTTTGCTTAACTTATTATAGTTGACGATAAGTGTGTTACCATAGACCTGTTATGAGAAAATTTGTTATCTGGCATTGGTTTTGCCAAAGTACACCTCTGTAAATTGGAGAAGAAACATTGTACATGTAGGTAAAGACATGTAGGAGTTGCTCATTATAAATACTGTACTGATAATTTATAAAAAAGGGATTGTATAGAGACTTCACTCTAATGACAGTGTTCATTATTTCTTAATTTTTTTCACTGTTTTAATGTAAAAACTATTGGTGAAGAGTATATTTTGTAAGAAGCTAGTTAATAACTTCAAGAATTGGAAAACTTTACAGATACTCCATGTAATGGCATGCCAATGAAAGTAGAGGTGCCCCTTGGTGCACCAACTCGTCCTTTGCAGCAAAGTCTTAGCCTTCCAGTATATGTGACTCAAACAAATGGTGGGCAGAAAGGTTCTCTTTCTCAGCCAGGTAATATGCCAAGAGGCTCCATTTCTCAAACAAGTGGACAAAACAATTCTATGACCAGTATTGGTAATTCCAAGAACCTGCAAAGAGAAGTTTCAGATGAATGGGATGGAAGATTTAGGGTGATCCCCATCCAGCAAAGTGAGGAAGAAATTAATGTCATTCCTAAACATATTGGAGGATATAAGGCAAACATTTCTGACACAAGAGGGTTATCAAATATTTTTAAAAATCAAGGTGAGATCAGAAATTAATTTTAGATTTGTATCAGAATTATTTTGCCCTTATTGATATATTGCCAATCAGTTCTGACCATTACTTAATATAGAAAAAAAGAAAGCAGGCTTCAGGACATAACTTTGAGCAGTTCATCTAGTACCAGACTAATAATCAAAGCTGCCATAATTGTGCAACAAAAATATTTATTTTTAATTTCCAAAGGCTCTTTATAGTGTAATTTGTAAACGAGATTGAAAAAGTGCATATTAAATTGAGTGCTACATACCATGACATCTCCACATACTATTTAATTGTGGAAGTACTTTTTAAATTGCATTTACAAAAACTCACATTGCATAGAGTTTTATAAGACATACTGTACTGTGTGTGTATATACTGGATACAAAAGGAAACTGACAAGAACTGCTTGGAATAAAAGGGTAATTTAATGTAGACCACCATACTGTATACTGTACCAGTAGTTAGAAATAATCTGAACTCTGATATAGTAAATTGGTATATAAAACATATTAACCTAAAGAAAAAATAATAAAATTCTTGGCATTTTCTGGAATTGTATACCGTAGTACGAGTGTCCACTGATACTGATGAAGCTCGGAGCAGAGGTGGCCACTTCCCTTCCAAGACTGTTATTGTCACACACAAGATTGGTATGAAAGCTTGCAGAACTTTGTCACATATGGTGCTGGGCTGGGATGTAGACTGAGATGTACACTACCTAGAATTGAATTGTATTGCTGTATGCTTGGATTATTTCCATGAGGTGGTGGCTGCATGAGAAGAAGCATAACTAATTGCTGGTGAAGGGAACTAATACTACTTTTTAAAAAATATGTAGCAAATGTTATTTATTAATTGTAGGCAACCTGAATAATGGTAAAGTACAACAGAGAATAAAGAAAATATTGAAAAAAATTGTCTATGGTGAAGACACTAATTTCTATATAATTTTTGTACTATTTTTTTTTTTTTTAGTGTAGGATGAACTTAATATACCTAGTATAATTATTAATAAATTTGTTTAAACACAATGTGTATGGCAAGAATACCATATATATTTTCAGTGTATTTGCCTAACATTGTTTGTGAGGATCAAACTTATTTTCCTGGTTGCCTCCTCATAACATCCAAATAGTGTTATGTATCCCCAGCCTCTGCTCTTTATCACATTTACATCTGGATTCATGTACCTTACTGAATTTGGCTCAGCACTACCCTCCTTGGGGTATTTCACTTTCTTATCACCTTCAGGCTAAATAATTTCCTTTGTACATTTTTTGGCATACTTTGAGGATTAACTACCATTTTTTTTTTTCCCCCCATGTCCTGGTTTCACTCTTAACAGTCTGTCTGCTTACCATGTTGATGCTTCATGATTACTCTTGATTGTTTTGATCATGACTCCTTGGCTATTGGCCCTTGTGTGGTATGCTACGGTGTACCCAGTAATACAGACGATTTGAAAGTGGCTTACTGTCTTCCTGCCTGGCAGAAAGACTTGTAATCCTGTTGATATTCAAGAAATATCAGGGACCTAGGTAATAGAAAGGCAGACACTGAGGTGAAGGCTGCTGTACTAAGTGAATTCTGTAATAGCTGTCAGCCTCAAAGTAACCTTGAACTACATGCATAAATCAGTTCATCCTTGAGAAGTGTCAGGCCAAATTTTCCTTACAGATCATTAACTAGCTGTAGTGGATTTAGTATGAGGTGGGGTTTTGGCCCTTTTCTCTTTGTGAGAGTTGTTACAAAAAAAACTAGTCTCTGTAGATTTAGGATAGGGTGCTCATACCTTGCCCACTGTCTCCTTGCAGGTGGCCCTGCCCTTTTGTGCAGTGCATTTGCAACTAACTGGCATATATTTAAATGGGTTGTCAATGGCTTTAGCCATTTCTGTTTTGTTGGGGATTTTATAACTATCTGGATATATGGCAGGATCTCTGAGAAAACTTAAAGAAGTATCTTAATATTAATCTTTTTTTTTTTTTTGTTAATACAGACTATTTTAACATATTTGTGAATATTTATTGTGTCATGTGTGATTGGCTTTTATTTTATGAAGTTAGTTTAAGTTTCTCCAGGTAGTAGGTTGGTAGACAGCAACCGCCCAGGGAGGTACTACCATCCTGCCAAGCGAGTGTAAAACGGAAACCTGTAATTGTTTTACATGATGGTAGGATTGCTGGTGGCCTGGTGGCTAAAGCTCCCGCTTCACATACAGAGAGCCCGGGTTCGATTCTTGGCGGGTGGAAACATTTCGACACGTTTCCTTACACCTGTTGTCCTGTTCACCTAGCAGCAAATAGGTACCTGGGTGTTAGTCGACTGGTGTGGGTCGCATCCTGGGGGACAAGATTGAGGACCCCAATGGAAACAAGTTAGACAGTCCTCGATGACGCACTGACTTTCTTGGGTTATCCTGGGTGGCTAACCCTCTGGGATTAAAAATCTGAATGAAATCTTATCTTACTTTTTGTTACTTCTACTTACACTTAGGTCACACTACATATACATGTACAAGCATATATATATATATATATATATATATATAACACACACCCCTCTGGGTTTTCTTCTATTTTCTTTCTAGTTCTTGTTTATTTCCTCTTATCTCCATGGGGACATGGAACAGAATTCTTCCTCCATAAGCCATGCATGTTGTAAGAGGCAACTAAAATGCCGGGAGCAAGGGCCTAGTAACCCCTTGTCCTGTATAAATTACTAAATTTAAGAAGAGAAACTTTCATTTTTCTTTTTGAGCCACCCTGCCTTGGTGGGATATGGCCGGTTTGTTGAAAAAAAAAAAGCGCAAGGTTTCAGGCATGTCTTGCTACTTCTACTTACACTTAGGTCACACTCCACATTTCTGTTTTTCTTACTAGTTCTTACTTATTTCTTCTTACCTCCATGGGGAAGTGGAACAGAATTCTCCCTCCATAAGCCATGTGTATTGTAAGAGGCAACTAAAATGCTAGGAGCAAGAGGCTAGTAACCCCTTCTCCTGTATATATTACTAAACTTAAAAAAAAAAAAAATTGTTTTTCTTTTTGGCCACCCTGCTTTGGTGGGATATGACCAGTTTGTTGAAAGAAGAAGAAGAAAGTTTAAGCCTCTTAACATGTGGTACGTGTACTCGTCAAATTGTTTTTTCAGAGGTTGAATCTTGGCTTCTGGTCCTGCCTCCTAAATTACATTCTTGCAATATGTAATCCATCAGTCTTTCCTGCCTGACCTCTATTGTCTAGTTGACTATACGTAACATGGTGGCTACATTCCTGAAAAGTGTTTTATACATGAAATCTGAAGGACCTCCATAAAAGCCATACAAAATTACCTAATACAATCTTTTTCTTGCTAATTCTGGTTGGTGGTACTGTACTTGTTGGTCTTGATACGAGTGGAAAGGGTTGGTGTTGTCCTACAGAGATGAGGTAGATGACTATGGTTCTTCTCTAAGTGTATGGCATAGGTACAGTTTGCACTATTGCAAAGCATATCGAAATTAACACTCGTTAGTACTGTCAATGATTCATTCTTGGCACCACTAGTATTCCACCTGGATGCCATGGGTAATATTCAGAGATGAGAGAAGGGCAGAAAATACCCACAGTCATTTGAAAAATACAGAGTAAGGCATCATACGTACAGTCATGCAACACCATGGCATGCATTAAAAGTATTCCTCCTGGATTCCATGGTTAATATCCAGAGATAAGATTAAGTGATGAAAAGGGCCAAACACACTTTATTCACATTCGACTGAATAAGGAATGGTATGCGTCCACAATGTAAACCTCCCTGGGAAGTTGTTTACATCATAGGGTGACATTAGTTCTCCCCCCTAAAATCATTGGACATGCCTGTAGCCTAACTGTGGCAAGGAAAGAAGGGAAAAATACTACATCCTGTGATGTCTTCTACTAAGAACTGGCTTGCAGCATGGTCTGAGTTCTCTCCAAATTTATAGCGTGCTACTGTGTGATTTACCATTATTTTCCATGTGCATTGTGGGAATGGATTTTTTTTTTATTGATAACATGTTGAGTAAACATGTTATGCGAGGGTCAACTGTGTTTACATGTTTGAACTTAAAAAAGTTAACTTTTGTTCTTTTAGTGTTGTCCTTGCACATCCCTTTCTCCCCTCTTTCCTTAATATGCTTCTGTCCTTATCTTACTTGCTCTTTAAGTTAATAACAAATATTTTATTGCAGCATTTATTTCATTTGCTTGAGTACATCTTAAAATATAAATTAATACTTCTTTTCTGTATAACACACACACACACACATGCTGTCTTGTGTTATAACTGGCTTCTTTTAAGATTTTTTTTATTTGCATTTTTCATTCTGCTGCTAAAATGTTATTTTCTTCCTAGCTTCTTCTAACTCTGTCATCTTCTAACACACCCCTCAGGTTCAGATGATGAAATCTCCAATTATATGCAACAGTGTGTTCCACAGTCTCATGCCCCTGTACATCAAGGAGTGCAGCCCAGACAACATTATAACCAAATTCAAAATCAGCAGCCGATTTATCAAAGGCCTGAGATCCAAGGGCAACCTCAGCAGTACCAACAGACTGCATCTAATAATAAACAGCTAGCTCAATCAAAGCAAAAAGAAGTGCCTACTTCATCAAGATTTTTCCGAATGCTCCAGACGATCACTGATACTTTGCCTGAAGGAGCTGGTATGAAGCTCAGAATGACCCGTTACTTGCTTGGTTTCTCACACTCGTGACATTTCGCCCTCCAGCCTTTTTGTATTTCAGATGTAGCTGGTAGTTTGATTGTACTGATATTTCAGTTCTCGTGTCCCTGTGTGTACATTGTCTTTGTGACTAGCACCAATCTCACAAACTTATTTGAATAATGCTTTACCAAATACAACTGTGACATGCATCTGCTTATGTGAATAAAGCAATGGAAAATATTTCTTTAATGTTCTCTTTTGAGAAATATGCATTGGTTGGTTTGTAAATTATTAAAATGTATATCAAAGGACTATTCTCAGCTATATAAATTATTCATAATGGATACAGGACTCCATTAAAGCAAATTTTGATTGCAATGTTTTGGTGAATTAAAACATGGGAAGCACTATATTCGGTATTAAATTTTGAGTAATTTGGTATTATCATCTTAAATTTAATTATTACACCCAAAAGGGTGATACAGCACTGAATAATTTGTAAATACAGTATTTTATTATTTTTTAGGAGTTTTGACAAGGTTTAGCTCAGAGATGAGAAAAGTTGTCATGCATCCAATTATCACTTAAATTATCAAGATCTTGCGCATGTCTCACCCATTGGATAAAGATAACATTGTAACCTCAAATTTTTAGTGGCAGCTGAAAAAATCATTTACATGTAAGCTGATGATATTCCTAACACTTGTATATTTTTTTTGAAAGACATTTATGGCTACTATTTTTAAGCACTTGTAAAGTGCCTCTGATTTACTGTGGGAGTTATAATGCCAGATAATAAGCTACCTTGAATGCCAGGCTATGCACTTCCTATTAAACTTATTAAGTTGTAAATCTGTTGAATTTCTTTGTATATTTTGCTGCATGCAAATATAACATTAAACATTGAGGACCTCTGAAGGTTAGCAGTAACAACTCTAAAAGCTTATCTACATTAAATTCCCTTCCAGAAAGTGAAACATATTAACCCTGCACATGTCTTTTGTAGTGCTCTAATGACTGTACAAATATTTATGGAGCTAATAGTATATGAGAGAAGTCTATACAAGTACAGTATATTACTTGCCTGCTTATAAGCTGTTGTAAATTTGCTGCAGAAATTTAGTTTTCAATGTATTTGTTACTTTTATGAATAGATTTAACTTTAAACTTTAAAGTTTCGAAATCTAACGGTAATAGAAGAGTAGTTATTTTTTTTTAGGATTGCATACTAAGACCAATAATTTTAATCACCTTCTTATTCCTGTCATTACAACAATCTGAATAAAGAATAGTAGTAAAACTGACTGCTAGTGTATTGTGTTATTACTTCTTCTAACCTCATGTCCCATTTGTATATTAGAAACTTGTCAGTCACTCCATCTTCAGATGTCATCTTGTAAAAGTACAGTAATTAATGTGATGTTTTATTTTATGAACTGTGGCCATCTGAAGATAGTAACTGATAGTTACATTGTTATTATTTGTCTGTACCCTACCCAGTGCTTAAACTCATCCTCCCTCCACAGAACCCCAGGGACCTGTCCATATACCTAACTTTCGACAGCAGCAGAAACCACCACAAATGCAACAGCAAGGCCAATATCAACAGCTGGGGCAGTATCAGCAGCCAGGCCAGTACCAACAGTCAAACCAGAATCAACAGCCAGGTCAATATGAGTATTAAAAGTTTTGATACATTTGACATACACTGCCATTACCCTCATGGAAAGAGTGATTTTTCTTAATGTTTATTCTGAATAAAGTATTAAAAATAAGTTTTATATATACATGTATGTAGCATAGTAGTTTGTGTGTATGTGCATACATGCACATGCACCTGTTATGGTTGCAGGGGTCGATTCTCAGATCCTGGCCCTGCCTTTTACCTTGCCACTCTTCAGATTCACTCTCTTTAGCCTAGTGGTCCCTATTGTACCTGCTCCTAAAACTATATATGGAGCCTGCCTCCACAGCTTCTTCAAGATTATTCCATATCCTGACTACTCAAACTGAAGAAATACTTCGTAACATCCTGGTGGCTCATCTGTGACTTTACTTTCTAGCTGTGTCCCCAGGTTCCATTTCTCGCCTCTCGAGCAGCCTATTCCTATCTAGCATATCAATTTCTTTTAAGTATTTTGCATGTTATCATGTGAATATAATGCAGAGAATTCGTAGTTTGGAAGTTAGGAGGAGGTGCGGGATTACCAAAACTGTTGTCCAGAGGGCTGAGGAAGGGTTGTTGAGGTGGTTCGGACATGTAGAGAGAATGGAGCGAAACAGAATGACTTCAAGAGTGTATCAGTCTGTAGTGGAAGGAAGGCGGGGTAGGGGTCGGCCTAGGAAGGGTTGGAGGGAGGGGGTAAAGGAGGTTTTGTGTGCGAGGGGCTTGGACTTCCAGCAGGCATGCGTGAGCGTGTTTGATAGGAGTGAATGGAGACAAATGGTTTTTAATACTTGACGTGCTGTTGGAGTGTGAGCAAAGTAACATTTATGAAGGGATTCAGGGAAACCGGCAGGCCGGACTTGAGTCCTGGAGATGGGAAGTACAGTGCCTGCACTCTGAAGGAGGGGTGTTAATGTTGCAGTTTAAAAACTGTAGTGTAAAGCACCCTTCTGGCAAGACAGTGATGGAGTGAATGATGGTGAAAGTTTTTCTTTTTCGGGCCACCCTGCCTTGGTGGGAATCGGCCGGTGTGATAATAAAATAAAAATAAAATCATGTCCTTCAATGTCATTAGGTCCAGTCCCGCTAGCCTTTCCTCATATCTCATGCCCCTTAGCTCAGGAACAAACTTTGTTGCATATTTCTTTACTGGTGTTGTACATTCCAAGATAGGCCTGTATGTTGTATAAAGGACTTGGCATGACTGCTGAGATTCCTGAAGGGTACTCCATCCCTTAGGACTTTCTCCATGAGTGCAGTATGCAGCCTTTGTTTCCCTAGTCTGTATTCTATTTATAGTCTTCTTGCATCTTTCCCAGTTTTCATGACCTTGAATTTATTGGAGTTGAATCCAACCAACCACTTCTTATCTGATCATTCTTGCAATTTGTCCTGGTCCCTTTGGAGCCTTTTTCCTCGTATGTTTTTACTCCCCTTGTTAGTTGTACATAATCAGCAAATGGATATATCTAAATCAGTATCATCTAGAATGTTTTTCACATCAACCAGAAGCATTACTGGTTCTAACACCAATCCTTGCAGAATTCTTTTAGTTACTTTTCCCCATTCTGATGTCTTTTCTAACAGTCACTCTTTGCTTCCTTACCCTAAGATATTCTTTCATCTGTTATAGTACATTCCCTGTTATTTCCACCTGAATCTCAAGTGCAATGGTGGGTTAGAGTATTAGGGTGTAAAATGATCATCAGAGTTTTGCAATACAGTAGGTAGTTTAAGTAGGAAGGAGGGCATGTCTACTCTGATAAGGTCCCAGCCCTGATAATTGTATTTTTGTAGTTGACTGTACCTTCAGGGAAAAGTGAAGTGTAATCAGGATTGATTACAAGATCCAAATCCTTAGACCAACAGTCATTTGTTGGCATCAAGGATATTGCAGTGCACCATATTCATGAAGTCTGTGAATGTCATTTATTTAGATTTTGCATATTACAATATATGCTGTATATTTAAGTTTAATGTTAACAAAAAGTGCACCATTGAAATATAAAGGTTTTTAAAAGTTAATATTAACAAACTGTTAAAATTTCTTTCCTACAGTGTTGCATAAATATCTGTGACACTATAGGGTGTTGTAGTATGTATGATAAAGTACAACAGGTTTTGTCCAGTAGGTGGTGTGAGAAGTGCAACAGCTGCAGATCAGGCTGTACCTGAACCCAAGAAGTATATGGGGGGCAGCATTCCCTCACGCTCCTTCAAAATGTTGCAAGCCATGACCAATACTGATGATGGTAGGGAAACACTTTCTGCCTTCTCTTTCTCACAATCTCAAGAACTTTTTGCCGTGTCCATGATTTCTAAGAAAAGCATTTGAAAACAATTCACAAGAAAATTTTTGGTAAAGTTACAAACTGTGATAGAAATCAGATAAATTTAATACAATTGTATATAATGGTACATTATTATGTGTTTTATCTAATTAGCAACCTCTAACCAAGATAGGGTGACCCAGAAATGTGCTGATATCACATTTCAGATAATTACTACTACTGCAACATCCCCAACTCCTCTTTCAGAATGCAGACATTGTTGTCACCTCCAGGACTTGTCTAGTTAACCAGTTTCCTTGAATGCCTTCATAGACATTACCTTGCTCACACTCCAGTAGCACATCAGGCATTAAAAACTTGTCTACACTCTTGTCTAACTCTCATGCAAGCCTTCTGAATGCTCAAGCCCCTAACACTCAAAACCTTTACCCCCTTCCCTTGAACCATTTCTGTTAAGACCCTCTGTACCTCCCACTTTCCATCCCAGATTGATATAACCTTTTCATCATCGTATTCCTCTTCATCTTTGCCAAATGCCCAAACCACCTCAACTCCTAAGCCTTTGGTGACCCCAATCTGTCTTCAAATTTCTGCTCTCCAAATTCTCTTCACATTTGCACCAAAAATTTCTTTTGAACATGTCACCACCTCCTCACTGCAACATTCAGTACCCATATCTCTTTTTTGTTTTGCATCCATAGATACACTTTTTCCCCATAATTAGTATTATAATCAAAAGAAGTGTTAAACCGCAAGGGTTATATAGCGCAGCAGGGTAGGGAAGGATGCAGGGAAAATGGGTGGCAAGAGGGAGAGGGATGATTATTAGGGTATGGAGTGCAGTGGGGCAGTGGATAATGCAAGGGGTAGAGGGTAGCAAGAGATTAAGATAGAAAGCACGGAGGAGAGTGCTAGAGGCATCATCAGAGTTTGTGTAGTAAATAAGTCGCTGTCGAAAAGTCAATGAGAGAGTCTGGATTAAAGGAGGGTCCATCAGCAAGAAGGGAAGATAAAGAAAGGGCAGCAGAGTGGAGACGACATTGGAGGTAAATTCTGCGTGCTTATTGATAGAGTGGACAGTCCAATGGAATGTGGCTAACAGATACTGGAATGTGACAATTCTCACAGAGAAACAGGGCGCCTCTCCACGAGATACCTGTGAGCAAGACGAATGTGGCCGATGTGAAGATGGCAAAGAGTGGTCTCCCAACCCCGACACTGATGACAAGAAGACGGCCAGAAATGTATACTTGGTTTAATAGAAGGAAATTTGTTATGGAACAGATTAAACCAATGTTGTTGCCAATGGGTGCGAAGGTGGGTAACAATTTCAGCAAAATAGTCTGTGAATGGAACACCTCTATATGAAACTGGGAGGTCATGTACTGCTGACCACACAGCAGTGTCTGCCTGTTCATTGCCCTGTATGTGCATCAACATGACCAGGGACACAGCAAAAAAAACAATATCTTTGTGTTTGCTAGAGATACGGCGTAGCCAAAGTTGGATACGAAGAACTAGGGGGTGAGGTGTATCAAATTTTCGTATAGCCTGTAAAGCACTAAGGGAGTCTGAAACGACCACAAATGGTGACACAGGCATAGATGCTATACGGATAAGTGCTACAAGAATGGCATACAATTCAGCCATAAAAATGCTAGCCAAGGATAATAAATGTCCTTGCATGACACTGTCCAGAAACACTGCTGCGAATCAGATGCTGCAAAAAGACTTAGAACCATCAGTGTACACTGCAATGGCATGAGAATGAGAGCGGAAGTGGTCAAGAAAAAGAGGGCGGGAAGCCACCATAGGGAGTTGGGCTTTCACCCAGGGCAGTGGGAAAGAACAGAATCGAACAGCTGCAACTTTCCAAGGGGGCAGGGAAAAGCGAGATGCTACATGACCTGCCTCGCATGGGCCAGTAGGCCTTCTGCAGTGTTTCTACATTCTTATGAACATAGAAAGGTGGTAACTGAAGAAAAGACAAGAACAAATGGAGGTGGAGAGAAAAGGGGTGGAGTAAGTAGGGGCGACGAACAAATAAAGAACGTCTACTAACATCAGTGATCATCCTGTATACAGAATGATTGTGGAGGTCTTGAGATCGAACATAATAGTGAAGGCAGTGGGCATCACGGCGATTGGACAAGGATGGAATATTTGCTTCTGCATACAGGCTCTTGATGGGATGAACGAAAGGCACCAAGGCACAGACGGAGACCTTGGTGATGAATGGGCTCTAACTTAGACAGAGTTGTGAGAGAGGCTGCAGAATAGATTTGTTCACCATAATCCAGCTTGGACAAGACTAGGATGGAATATAAACGGAGGAAAATGCGATGATCTGATCCCCATGAGCGAGAACTTTGAGATTTAGCCGACCATGGCAAGTTGTGTATAAAGAAGAAATGTGTGGTCTCCATGTCAGCCGGCGATCAAAGAGCAGGCCCAGAAACTTGACCATATCACATGCTGGAATACATCAGCCGTGTAAGTACAAGGGAGTATCTGGAATAAGAGGACTTCTAGTGAAGGTAATGAACCAGGTTTTCGTACTAGAAAATTTAAAGCCGGAGAAGTGGTCCAATGGGAGATTCGGTCTATCACAACCTGAAGAGAGGCTGCTACTAATTGACAGTCAGTGCCTGAGTAAGCTATAGCGAAGTCATCGACATAGAGATGACCAAATATGCGAAGGAAGAATGGAAGGGAGGTCATTTATAGCTAAGAGAAAAAGAGTAGTGCTGAGAACACAACCTTGTGGAACTCCTTCGGCTTGTACAAAGTCCGAGGAAAGCGAGGGGCCAATACAGACCTGAAAATGTCTATCGGACGAGAAAACAGCGATGAAGGTCTTGGGCTAAGATGTTATACCTCCAAGTGGTGTCATATACCTTCTCTAGATCAAAAAAGACCGCTAGGACAGAGTGGTTGTCAGCAAAGGCATTTTAAATATACGTAACTAAGTGGAGCAAGGGGTCTACAGTGGAGCAGCCTTTGCTAAAGCCATATTGGCAAGGAGAAAAACTATTGTGTGTGTCTAAGAACCACATCAGACTTCTATTCACCAATCGTTCCATCACCTTGCAGACCACACTGGTCAGGGTAGTGAGAGGTGTCAAGTCCCGAGGCGCCTGGTTTGCGAAACGGTAGTACAATAGCCGATTTCCAGTGTTGAGGGAGAACCCCTCATGTCCAAATTAGATTGAAAAGACGTAAAAGAACGGGAAGGGCCATAGAATGGAGATGCTGAAACATACTGATGTGGATATCATCAGGTCCCAGTGCTGACGGCCAGCAAATGGAAAGCGTGGACTCCAGCTCTTGAAGAGTATAAGGTACGTTATACGGCTCCACCCCATTGGAGGAGAAATCTAAGGGCAATTGCTCTTTGATAAGTTTAGACGCAAGAAATGAAGGACAGAGGTGAAGCCCTTGGGAGATACGGACAAGATAGTTCCCAATTGCTGTGGCAACTTTTAAAGGTTCCGCGACATCAACTCCGGTCTGGAGTGTACCTACCACACAATTTACACACCTTTTTTCAAATCGCACACATAGGGGAAGACAAGTTAATGGTAGACACGTAGTCTCGCCAACAAGTGCACTTAGCGTCATGGATGATATGGCGAGCAACTGCCCTTGCCCAATTGAAATCCAACACTCTGCAGTATGATTGTTGATAATGGCCCCATGCAGCACATTTTAAACACGCTGCACTGGTGGATGTAGGAGACCACCAAGGTATGCATGCCTGAGAATGCCTACCTGAAGTTTGGGGGATAGAATGCGTCACTGCAGTTAGGACCAAGGTTGAAAAGTGGTGTGCCAGTTCATCAATAGAGGATGAAAGTGGGTCCTCACAACGGGCGGTAAGATGGGAGTACACGTCCCAATTTGCTCTAGCAAATTGCCAACAAGGGCCACGAAATGATACGTAGTAGAAGCAAGAAGGATGGGAAAGTGATCACTATCGTGTAAATCTGGAAGAACCCACCACACGAAATCAAGTGCAATGAGTGAGGAACAGATAGAAAGATCAATGCAGGAGAGAGACAGAGTACAAGAGTCAAAATGGGTAGGGGCACCCGTGTTCAAAATGTGAAGAGGATGAGATGCGAGAAGTCTCCAACTGATCACCACGAGAGTCGCAGTGGGACCCTCTCCACAGGTGATGGTGGTCGTTAAAATCACCCAACAACAATATGGGTGGTAGTAGAGATAAAATTAAAAATGGGATATCAGAGATACAGAATGCATGGGAGAGAGAAAGATAAAGAGAGCAAACTGCAAACCATCGGTGTAAATAAGTACGAGCTGCAGTATAATGCAGCGGGGAACAAATAAAAACTTGTTGATACAGTGTATCAATGTGTACAAGAAGCGCACTGTCATTAAATGATTCGTCGGGTAAAGGATCAGAAGAATGTATCAGCAAGTAGCTTGAAACTGGACAAATGACAGCAGAACGAATTTTGGGCTCTTGCAACCCAACACATACTGGGGACAACTGGGAGAGCAACAATTGGAGCTCTCCTCCATTGCTCCTAAGGCCATGAATATTCCATTGTAAAAAAGACATTATGTACAGAAATAAAAATGACAACAATAAGAAACGATCAGTAATGTTAACGTGTGGGGGCACCGGTAAGCAAGTAAATAAGGAAGAATTAAAATATTGCGGAGGAATAGATTGTTGCATGGGTTGTGAAATAGAAGGGGTAGAAGGAGGTGTGTTGGTGCCCATTGGGGGTTTCCTCTCTGCTGTATAGCTGGAGATAGCATCTAACATCTCGGTTGATAGGGAAGCCAACAATGTCATGATGTCAGAGACAGGCAGTGCAAGTAAAGGTCAGAGTAACTATGGAGGCAGCCAAAGAGGTCTGAGGAGGGTGGGGAGTATGAGCCTGGAGAGATGCGCTGGCTGGGGTAGAAGAGTCCTGCAGTGTAACAGGAGAGGAAGGAGGTTGGACAGCAACTATGGAAGAAAAGGGAGGAGGGGGAACAAGGGAAGAGGGAACTACACTAGGGGGAGGGTGAACCTCCATCTTTGTGT